TAACCTCTACCCATATCTGTTGATTCACTCTTAGATTTGGACACTCTACCATTTGTCATACTCAAACTTTCTCTCCTGACTTGTCTCTACTCTTACAGTATCTTTCTTTGCCCTTCGTATTTAGTTTAAAAGCCTCTCTCCTTAAGTGGTATGCTCACTTGTGCACTAGCGCCAGCATGACTCAGGTGGAGACTATCCCCATGGTATAATTCCCACTTTCCCCACTGATGCCAGTGCCCCACAAACCAGAAACAATTTCTCTTGGATATACATTTCTCTAATCTTATTTGCCCTATGTCAATTTGCAAAAGTGTCAGCTAATAATCCAGAAATTATTATTTTTGAGATTCTGCTTCTTAATTTAGTCCCAGCTCCTCATACTGACTAAGCAGAGCCTCTTTCCTCATCTTACCTATAGTGTTGGTATCAATAGCAGAGTTCTTCGCCTCCTATCCTAAATCCCTCTCTATACCTAGGCATCAAGCAGGCAATACTGCCATCTGGAATCTTGCTATTTGCTGCTAAGAATAGTATCAATCTTCTTTGGTATACTGTCCCTTGCTTCAACCACGTTGTTTTTTGTGCCCCGAACTTAAATAGCTTCGTATACCATACAGGGCCATCGTGAGTTGCCCATCTGTCCCTGCAGACCCCATCTGAACCAATCAAGCTGAAAAACCTGATATCTGCTGAACAACTGTAAAGGCTGAGGTCTCTGCACACGTGCCATGAGGATCACCTTAAGTGCCTCACTCACAGTCATACCCTGTGCTTTCTGTAACCACTTACGCAGATCAGAAGGCCATATCCGAAAGTGTATATCTGCCTCCTGCTCCAAAATATCTATGATGTGGAGATGCCGGTGTTGGACTGGGTGGGCAAAGTTAGAAGTCACACAACACCAGGTTATAGTCCAACAGGTTTATTTGAAATCACAAGCTTTCGGAACACTGCTCCTTCATCAGGTAATGTCACGTGATAAAGCAGCAGTGCTCCAAAATCTTGTGATTTCAAATAAACCTATTGGACCATAACCTGGTGTTGTGGGACTTCTGACAAAATATCTATATAACACTTCCCCTGCCCAATATGTTACAGTATGTCATTCAGCCTCCAGCTCATAAACGCTGTGCCAAAGCAGCGTGAGCTATAAAAACTTACAGTAGTTGTGTTTGCTCTCGATCACACAGCATTCAAGAATTCCCAGTTGTTGAAGCCATGACACATTAACTGTCCTTTCATCCTTAAAATATTTTACATTAACTACTTAAATAATCTATGCAATTATTGGTCATAAATGCAAAATGAATGCTCAGAATTAAATGAAAAGAATGAGCAAAGATGAATGAAGCTATTCATGCAGCAGTAAACAATGTATCCAAATAAAACTGGCCATAATCCATCAAGAAACCAGGTGAAATAGGAATAACTGAAACATGTGTACATTATTAACATGACTGGCAGGTTACAACACAGTCAGAAAGTAAGTATCAGGATATAGATATTAGTTGTCTTAATTAGAGATGACAACAGCAAATAGAAGATAAAGAAGAACAAAAGAAAAATATTCACAGGACTGTAAGAAAATATATGGGGCCAATTACATAGATAGGAGGACATTGCAGAGTACCTCATCATGGAAACAAAGGAAAGAAACATTATATAAGCAAAGTCTACAGGAGATTTTAACTACATCTTAGTAAAGAAATGGAAGGCTTCAACAGTACTATCAAGCAGCACCTGTTCAGCAATAATTTGTTTACTGAAGCCCAGTTTGGGTTCTACAAGAACCCCTCAGATCCTAACCTCATTACAGCCTTGGTTCAAACATAGACAAAACAGCTGAATTGCAGAGCTGGGGTGAGTGTGACATCCCTTGACATCAAGGTTGCATTCAACTGACTGTGGTAGAAAGAAGCCCTAGCTAAATTGGAATCAATGGAAATCAGGAGGCAATCTCTCTGCTGGTTGGAGTCATACCTGGCACATAGGAAGATGGCTGTGGCTGCTGGTCAGTCATTTTAGCTCCAGGACACCTCTGCAGGAGTTCCTCAGGGTAGTGTCCTAGGAACAACCATCTTCAGCTGCTTCATCAATGACCTTTCCACCTCAATAACATCAGAAGTGAGGATGTTTGCTGATGATTGCACAATGTTGAGCATCATTTGTGACTTCTCAGATACCGAATGTGTCAATGCTCAAATGCAACAAGACTGGACTATATCCAGGAACATCTGGATAACAAGGATACCTAAGTCAGACTCCTATCTATTGACTTTAGCTCACCTTCAACGCCATAATTCCAACCAAACTCGTTCCAAATTCCAAGACCAATCTCCCCCCTCTGCAACTGGATCGTCAACTTCTTGACCCGCAGACTGCCATCAGGATAGGTGAGGATAGGTGACAAAACCTCCTCCACAATAATCCTCAACACCAGTGACCTGCAGGGTTGCGTACTCAGCGCCTTACTATACTCCCTTACACTCATGCCTGTCTGGCCAAATTCAGCTCTAATTCCATTTACAAATTTGCTGATGACATTACCATAGTGGGTCAGATCTCAAATGATATGACAGAGTATTGGAAGGAGAAAGACAGCTTAGTGGCATGGTATAAAGACAACAATCTCTCTCTCAATGTCAGCAAAACTAAGGAACTGGTTATCGATTTCAGGAAACAGAGTAGAGAATACATCCCTGCCTGTGGCAATGTTGCTGAGGTGGAAGTGGTTGAGAGTTTCAAGTTGCTAGGAGTAAATACCACTAACGATCTATCCTGGTCCATCCACATTGATGCTACAGCCAAGAAAGCACACCAACACCTATTTCCTCAGAAGGCTAAGAAAATTTGACATGTCCACAATGATTCTTACCAATTTTTATAGATGCACTGTAGAAAGCATCCTATCCAGATGTATCACAGCTTGGTATGGCAACTGCTCTGCCCAAGACCGCAAGAAATTATAGAATGGTGAACACAGCCCAGTCCATTACGAAAACCAGATTTCAGTCTAGTGACTCCATCTACAATTTCTGCTGCCTCAGGAAAGCAGCCAACATAATCAAAGACCCCTCCCACCCTGGTTTTATTCTCTCCTACCATCTTCCATCAATACAAAAGTTTTAAAATACTTACCAACAGATTCAACAACAGCTACTTCCCAATGTTATCAGACTTATGAATTGACCTCTCATATATTAGAGTTAATCTTTCTCTGCACCTTCTCTGTCGCTGTAACACTATATTCTGCATTCTGTTGTATTATCCTGATGAACTTATGTAATGTATGATTTGTTTGGTTAACATGCAAAACAATACTTTTCATTGTATCTTGATACATTTGACAATAATAAATTAAATCATGAACCAATAGATGACAGAATTTGGAATTCCAAAACACTTTCAAATCTGGTGATGCATAAAAGGTTAGTATGTAAGCTAATGACTCATGGAATTGGGGGTGATATATTAGCATGGAAAGAGGAATGGCTAACGAACAGGAAACAAAGCCAGGATAATTGCACCAATTTCCCAGCTGGCAAGCTGTAACTTTTGGGGTGCCATGGAACCGGTGTTGGGGCTTCAATTATAAACTATTATGTTAATGACTTGGAGCAAGCACAAACTGCATTGTAATCAAATCTGATGACACAAAGGTATGTTGAAAAGCAGGTTGTGTGGAGGACACAATGAGTCTGAAAAAGACATCAGAACATTAATCGAGTGGGCATATGGAGTGTAATGTGGGAAAAGGAGAGGTTATCCATTTCTTTTGCAAGAATAGAAAAGTTGTATCGTACTTAAACGGAGAGACACTACAGCATACTGTGCTTAGGAGGGATCTGGATGCTTTTGTACATGACATACAAGAAACTAGCATGCAGGTTCAGCAAATATTTGGAAGGCAAATTGAATGTTGGCTTCTATTGCAAGTATGATGCAGTGTAAGTATAGGGAAGTCTTGGTACAACTGTACAGAACATTGGTGAAAGTATATTTCGAGTGACCTCGACAATTTTGGTCTCCTGTACGTGCACTGTAGGCAGTTTAGAGAATGCTCGCTAGGTTGATATTTGGGATAAAGGACTTGTCTTACGTGGAAAAGTTTGTCAAAATTGGGCCTATACTTATTGTTGCTTAGAAGAATGAGAACTGATATTTTTGAAACAGGAGATTCTGATGGGGCCGGACAGGTGGATATCAACAGGATGTTTCTCCTGGTAGCTGAAACTAGAACTAGTTGGACACAGTTCCATGATGAGTAGTCTCCTATTAAATTCAACAATGAGGCAGCATTTTTTCTCACTAACCTTTGGAATTCTTTAGCACAGGGAACAATGGAGGCTACATCCAAAGTGGATCTAGACACATTTTTGATCTACGAGGGAATTAATGATTTTAGGGACAGGCAGGAAAGTGATGTCAAGGACATAGTATATCAGATATTACTGAATAGCAAAGCAGGCTTGAACTCCCATTCAGCTGGTTCCTGCACCTTCTTTTATTCTTATATCCTAAGTAATAACCTTTCGTTACATAGCCTATCCAATGCCTACATAGAATGAGAGAGGCAGGGACAATGAACTATTTGTAAAAGCAATAGGATGGGAACTTGGGGGTAATAAACTTACATTTGTAAGATGGAAAGAGAGCTAGGCAATGGGAACGACAGACAAGTTATCACACTGCCCAAAGTTTAGTCATGAGTCATAACTATTCCAAATTGCCCCAAACCTTGGTTCCTAACTTTCTTCCCTTCTCTAAAAAGTACAGCCATAATCAATGATCCAATTTTATGAACAGCAACAGACCAGCATTAATTTACTCATGTAATCAGATTCTTTATTTCTGACCATAGAAGTTAACAGTTAGATAGATTACTACAACATTGCCTAGTACTCTTGATATTATGCAGAGCTGAGCTCCTAGAACTGCTGAATGGAATTCAATATAATTCTGAATCTAGTGAAAAGATTATTATCTTATTAAAACTGTACCTGGACGAGATGAATTAGTGTGGTAAGAATTGCACATCGCAGCATATTGTGATCTTCAGATTGCTTCCAAAGCAAAGGTAAATATTGCACCAAACATCCAACATAAGGTCGAATCTAAATTTTTAAAAAACTTGATTAATAGTTCATAAAATGTGCAAAACATCAAGCATGAGAATGGTCATAAAATATTTCAAAACCTTAAATCACACTTTGTGGTGGAGAAATTTAGAGAAAATCCACAAATTAGTTTTTTCTAAGGCCAGATATGTAGTTCAATAATACTTATCAATACAGTAACTGTTAAAAAACAAGTTAAGCCTTTCTCAAATAATCACTGTTCTTTCAACAGTTTTTACAGCGAGTCTTAATAGCATAAAAATAGGCATTCATGTCTGTTCAACTGATTTTTCAAAAAGATTTCCATGTGGGGATCCGCTTAGAGTATCCTGTAGATCTGCAGGAAATCAATGATAGCAACTTATGGATTTCTGCTTTGAACCGTACACATATGGATGCTACAAGTTGCTGGGTGGTTCATAATTCTAAAGACAGTGAATGCCATCCTCACAGATTCAGTCAAAGGTACTTCAACAAAATATCTGTTTTATTCACCTGCTTTTTATTAGAATTGTGTTTCATTTTTTTGTCTTGGAGTATCTACTGCCAACGACATTCTTACACAAAACAAATAGCTGTTTTAGTAAGAAAAGAGCTCTCAATACTGTCATTTTAAATTAGCTTCTCAGCTGGGTGTGTCCTCAGTTTGCATTTCCTTATTTGGATCATGAAAGTTACTCAATATTTTTTGAATAGAGAATAAGGAGAATACAAGCTTGGCTTTAAAAAAGGTCTGCAATCTGTTTTTATTTGCTTAGTTTTGAAATTTGGAAGTTGCCGGTTGGCAGTATGAGCTGGCAAAAGATCGCATTTTCACCCTTTCTATAAGTTTGAAGATTTGAGAAGAAAAGAGAGTCAGGATCCAACAACTGAATTTCTGCCAAATGGATTTGAGCAGCAGAACTAGCGGCCACATGAACATTAAATAAATGAGGCAATAACATGTAACCAACTACCATTTAGATGAGCAGCTCCAATCAATAACGCTTTACCAGACTGTCATTGGTGCACAACTGCACCTTCGAAAAGCAGCAATTTGTCTAAACGTGAGTGTTATCACAATTGTAAAAATCCCACTTTTTAAGAAGCCTTACATAAGAAATATATCATAAATCTAATGAGAAAAGCAACTGCGTCTAACTAAACCTTTACATCCTACCTCAGAGAAATGGGAAAGAAATACATTAGCTTTCTGTTCCAAATTGGCTGGCTATTAAAAGAACTAATTCAGTTCTCAATAACCAATCAAAACTAACAGCTAAGTGTAGAAAAGGTCATGTGAGAGCAGCTGCCAGTTTACAATCCAAAACACTTCACTTCCTGGGTTTGAGCAACTAGCATCAAATCATATTCCAATGGCTCACTCATCATCAAAAGGAAAAAATAAAAAGTGTGAAGTGGAGAGGGAAAAATGTACTTGAATATTAACTTCTGTTTGATTAAGTTTTCTATTTATGATAATTGATGTTAAAAGATTTTTAAAATCGATTTTGCATTTGTACACATTTCCACAGTATTACCTGCATTCCAACTCTTTCGATGACACAAGAAATTACATGCAGTACGTGCATCTTCGTATCACATTCTGTGACTTCTTGAAGCAAGTGGAAGAGTAGACTGAAAATATTTTCCAAGTACTGTAGAAGAAAATAAATTATGCACTGTTATTACAGCAGTTTAAAGATACCCTGTACTCAAAAATAATGGCAAACAGAATATTTCAAATGAATAAGGTGACCAGCCAACACCTTTTCCCTAACGTAGGGAAGGCCAAAACTAGACAGCATAGGTTTAAGATGAGAAAAGAAAGAGTTAAAAGGGACCTGAGGGGTAACTTTTACACACTGAGGGTAGTGCGTATATGGAACAACCTGCCAGAGGAAGTGGTAGAGGTGAGTACAATTACAATATTTAAAAGGCATTGGGACAGGTATATGGACTGCAAAGGTTTAAGAGGGATATGGGCCAAACGCAGGCAAGTGGGACTAGCTCGGTTTAGGAAACCTAGTTGGCACAGGTGAGTTGGCTAAAGGGTCTGTTACTATGCTACTTGACTCTGCAACTTAACACAAATGAACACTAACGAAAAAAACAAAATAACCAATATTTCATTTGTACAAAATGGTAATTCTAGCTTTTCCAATGTCCGTTATTTTTATTCACTTGTGGGATGTGGGTGTCACTAGCTGGCTAGCATTTATTCACGGTCTCTAATTGTCCTTGAGAAGGTGGTTGTGAACTGCCTTCTCGAACCACTGCAGTCCATGTGCTGTATGGCATTATGGGTGTTAACTACAGCTGTTCAAGAAGGCAGCTCACCACCACCTTCAAAAGGGCAATAAATACTGGCCAGCCAGCAATGCCTACATTGACGAGTGGAAAAAAAAATTTAAAAAAGGGAGGAATTACAGGATTCTGACCCAGCAACGTATACTTCCAAGTCAGGATGATGATTGGCGTGCAGGGGAACTCGCAGGCTAGTCCTTCAAAATGGCAGTGGTCATGTGTTTAGGAGATGCTGCAGTGCATCTTGTAGATACACTCTACAGCTACTGAGTATTGGTGGTGGAGAGTGTGGATGTTTGTTTATGTGGTGCCAATCAAATGGGCTGTTATCTCTTGGATGGTGGCAAGCTTATAGAATGTTGTTGGAGCTGCACCCATGCAGGCAAACGGCCAGTCTTTCATCACACTCCTGACAAGCAGATGGTGGACAGGGTATAGGGAGTTGGTGTATTACTCGCTGCAGTATTCCTAGCTTCTGATCACCAATCATGTCATCATGTCACCAATGTACTTACATTGAGTTCAGTTTCTGATTAATGGTAACCCCAAGATGTTGATAGTGGGGGATTTGGTAACACTATTTAATGTTAAAGGGCGGCGGTTAGCTTGCCTCTTATTGGAGATGGAAATTGCCTGTCAATTTTGTGGTGGAACTATTAATTGTCTCTTGTCAGCCCAACTCTGTATATAGTCCAGGTCTTGCTGCATTTGGACAAGGGCTGCTTTAGTATTGCCAGAACAAGGTAATTTTGCTATTTATTTACCGACGTCCATCTTGAATCATCTGCTGGAAAATGCATTCTTCCTCCCTTATGTGCTTAGTTTCAAATCCTTTATCAACTTTTATACCAGAATTACATGTCTCATGGCTTAATAACTTATAGTGCATTTAGCATTTTGTCAAATTGTGGAGACCAGATTTCAGCTGCAAAAGCATTAATCTACATGCCAAAAGGCAGGATAAATTGTCATTAGCTTTTAGAAGTCAAGTAGAATAGGCCACGCATCAACTCTCTCTCATTTGTCAGTGTGAACACAAACTAAACTACTAAGCACATTTAGCACTATTGTTGGGGACATAACCTACATCTTCACAAATGCAATACCCCGATGTTTAAAAGCTGCAGAGGAAACAGGTCCAAAGTGGATAATGTATTTCTGAAGGTGTGAAGTGAGAAATAACGGGAATAGATCAAGCAGACAGGATGACTCCTGCTGTGATGGCCTACATGAGCTTGAAAAAGCAAGGGTTGGTGATGGGTTTGGGACTGGAAGTGGTCATCTGCAAATATAGTGCTTCTGGCTGTCATTCTGAAGGGGGGAAGAGAGAATGCACGAGAGAGAGTGTGCGTGTGTGTACGCATGTGCATCTGCATGTGTTTGCTTGAGAGACTGTGTATATAGAAGAGACAATCTGCGTGAGAGTGTGTTTGTGTGAGTGTGTGTGTGTGTGTGTGTGTGTGTGTGTGTATGTATGCGTGTGTGAGAGAGTGTATAGTGTGGTGGGGTCACCTGTAGTGTGACATGAACCCAAGATCCCAGGTGAGGCCGTCCTCATGGGTACCGAACTTGGCTGTCAGCCTCTGCTTGACGACTGTGTTGTTGTGTATCTCAAAATCCGCCTAGGACGACGCTTACTCGAAGATCCGTGGGTGAAAGTCCTCGACCGCTGAAGTGCTTCCCCACTGGGAACGACATCCCTGACTGGTGATTGTTGCATGGTGTCCATTCATCTGTTGGCATAGCTTCTGCATGATTTCGCCAATATACAATGCCTCAGGGCATCCCTGCCTGCAGCGTATGAGATAAACAACGTTGGCCGAGTCATATGAGTACCTGCCGTGCACACTGTGGGTGGTGTTCCCACGTGTGATGGTAGTGTTCATGTCGATGATCTGACATGTCTTGCAGAGGTTGCCATGACAGGGTTGTATAGTGTTGCACTCAATGTTGTCCTAAAGACTGGGTAGTTTGCAGCAAACAATGGTCTAAGCTTTGAAGGCGAGAAGTGGAGGCATGGGGAAGATACTGGCGAGGTGTTCATCGTCATCGATAATGTGTTGAGGCTGCAAAGAACATGGTGTCGTTTCTCCACTCCCGGGAAGTACTGGACGACGAAGGGTACCCTATTGGTCGTATCCTGTGTCTGTCTTCTGAGGAGGTCATTACAATTTTTCACTGTGGCATGTATCCTGTTCCTACGAGGGTGTCGTTCAACACTTTCAGGTGTCTTTCTATCACATTTTTCCTCATCCGAACAGATCCTGTGTATGCATAGGTCTTGTCCATAGGGGATGGCTGTTTTAATATGTTTAGGCTGGAAGCTAGAGAAGTGCAGCATCATGGGGTTATCTGGAGGCTTGTGGTAGAGTGAGATATTGAGGTGTCCACCCCTGATGGAGATGTGTGTGTCCAAGAATGATTCCAAACAAGGCCTCACACCTAACATGCATTGTCTGACCTAAAATGTCATCTCTTCTTTACACTGATAGAACCTTTACTTCTCTCAGGAGAGTGACTTGAAAGATATTCAGGGATTTACATATACGTTAATCAATTAAAACCTTCTAACTGATTAAAGATTTGACAGCATCTTGGGTTTGCTCAAGACATCCTCATCAGCGGTGTGGCCCTTTGATCTTTTACTTATAAATTCTGTGTCTCATACTACCTCTCTCACTAACACCCGAGGAAGGACTGAGGCTCTGAAAGCTTGTGTTTTCATATAAACCTGTTGGACTATAACCTGGTGTCGTGTGATTTCTGACCCTGTGTGAGAACCTCCCTGGCTATGTTCTGGGCATCTTGAAATCCACTGTACAAGGAACCCCCATCTTCTGTCACGACACTACAGATTTCTTACAGAAACTCAGCATCCACCGACCAGTGGAACTAGGAACATTACTCGTCACAATGGACATTTTGGCACTCTACGCCAGCATACCTCACGACAACAGAACCACTGCAATGAAATCAGTACTCAATATGGTTACGAAGTTGGGCAGAGTACTTGTGGATTGGGAGGCAGAAGTTAGAATTTGGTGTTTTGAAAAGGGCTGGGGGGGGGGGGGGGGGAAAGAGAAGCATTGCGTGGTCCCTTTAAAAGATAATGGTTTTTTTTTTCTATGCTTAGAGATTTAAAAAAAGTCTGTGAGCAGCTTGAAAGTCGGCAAATAGAGGGGGCACCCGAATTGAAACATTTGAATCAAAAGGCCGTACAGTTAGCAGGCCAAGCAGCAGTTATGTTTTCAAACCAAGACAACAAGATTTGAACTGAGCCAATCAATTTGAACCAGGCACATAGATACCAAAACCAATTAAATTTAAATCTGATGGTTTTAACAACATAGGACCAAACCTCTTGTAAAAAATTGACATATCATCAAGGGTATAAAAGAAGGGCCAATTGGGCAAAGACAGGAGAACTAACTGCGATATGCCAGAGTTAACAGTTCTCAGCTTTCAAGAGAGAATCGCTGGCTCCCACAGGCTTCTCTAAATCTTAGAGAAAGCACTACCTAAGAAAAATCAAAGGTACCAATAGGACAACAAGTTAACATTCCTGACAGAAGAATCAACAGAGGAGGCATTCCTGACAGAACATTCAATAGAGAAGGCACACAACATTTCCAGAAGACATGTGGTCTAGCTGTAATTTCAAGAGACTAAATTCTATTTTTTTTTATTTCATATATGTGGGAGTTGTGTTTATTGGAACAGCATACTTCTAGAATCTTGTTTTATTTGGGAATAGTTAGTAGTTAGAAGGGACTTATTCAGTTTGTTAATAATTTAGTTAATTTCTTCACTGATAGTCATGCAAATAAATCGTTACTTGTTGATTGTAAAGTAAGTATCAGATTTGTTTTATTTAACCACTAGAAGTTGCTGAAAGGTAGGTCACGCTACTTCTCACACTCCTTTTACAGATTATAGGGCAAGATGTTTCTCTTTGGATATTTCGGTTTTAGTTTTCAGAGGGGGATCAATCTCCACTTTACAACAATACCAACAACTGCCAATTTTCAGACGCCATCCTACAACTCATCTGCTTCACCCTCGACAACAATTTCTTCACTTTCGACAACCAGTTCTTCATCTAGACACGGAACAGTCATGGGGACCACATCTGCACCCCAATATGCCAACATTTTCATACACAAGTTTGAGCAAGACTTCTTCACTGTGCAGAACCTCCAACCAATGTTATACACCAGATACATCAATGACATTATCTTCCTTTGGACTCATGGTGAGGAATCACTGAAACAGATACATAGTACTATCAACAAGTTTCATTCCACCAGACTTAACATGGACTACTCTTCAGAATCAGTCTCATTCTTGGGAA